CCGATCCATTCTGTTCTCCGCCGCGTCATCAGTCGTGCGGCCACGGTATAGCATTGCCTGCCGCCGTCCGGTCACGGTCGTCTTCTGAAGCCGAGCACGGCTGCCCGGTCATCGACGCGCTGTGTAGCACGCGACGGTGTGCTTTTGGGTGTTTTTTGTTATGTTGCGAGCCTTTCATTCTGTGTTTAAGCTTTACGGAATTGTCACCAAGTCCAGATCCTGCATGGAATAATTGCATGGGATATACTTGGAGAAACTGCTAGTGGGAAATTCAACGTTTCACACACCCTAGATAAATGAAATGTGGCGCGGTATTTATCCTTACATGTGTTGAACGCCTAGGTCAAAACATTCAGCACATCGGTGAGCTGCATGCTTGGTCACTGATGAGGTTATCCATTTGCATATACAATCAGACATCATAACCCATTCTGCCTCACAGACAGGTTGTTTTCATCTGCACAAAGGAGGGCTAACCAAAACAGGCGAACTCTCGCACACACAGGCTTTCATTTCGGCATCGCGGCTAGCTGCCACGCGCTGCTGCTCACGCGCTCGGTTTGCTGCTTACTAACTGACACGCGAAACAGTCAGGGTACCGTAGCCATGCTTTCTGGGTGACATCAAGACAATCAGCACTATAGTCACACATGCACCTATGATTGCGAACAATGACGCTTGGGTTGATTTTAGTTAATGCTTGATACGTCACGACCTTCCAAGCCTGCTTCTTGGTCGCGTGTGTATGTTGTATGCTGCATTACGAAACCAGAAGGTAACGCGACATGCCATGTGCCCCGAACGGAACCTCGTCTTGTACATAAATCATATGCAGCACGTCACGTCATCTAAAACTGGCGCGCAACCAGCAGACCCGCGCCACCAGCAATTCCCTTGTAGCATCGATGTTCGAAGACTTTGGAAGCTACAACAGAAAAAACAAACGGCCGCCTAGCCACTTGAGGGTCTTCCGTGAAGCCATGCTGCGGCGAGGCACGTAGGACACAGCACAAACGGCTAATCGCCGACAGTCGATGGCGGACGTCCACGAGCGCCGCACGCAATTTATGCCCGTTACAGAAGGTATCACAAAAGCGGACTGAAGTCTGATCCGGGCAGCACCCAGGAAGGTAATTTGCATCTATGCCTGCTACTTATATGTAGTGTTTCATAGTCGTGTCTTGTAGTATTATATGTATGCACGGACCCTAGCCAGCAATATACTTGCGTTATGATATTGCTATTTATTACGTTACTTATACTATATATATGTATCTATATATAATAATATATCATTATGTACAACATCTATATATATATATATATATATATATATATATATATATATATATACATATATACTGTAGCGTTGAAAAGGGGCTCGCGCTGGGCAATGCGGCGTTTTTGCAACGAAACATCGTAGGGCTAAAGGACCACCTCCATTCATCTGTCAACGGTAGAAAGCCCCTCTGAAGCGATGAAAGGAAATATGTCAAAAATGTTACAGCAAAAAGTGTTACATTGCATGGCGCGCATCCTATTGCAACGCTAGAAATATAGGGTGGAGGCTACATTTCACTTATGTCGCGTGCATATATTTTTATATTGTTTTGTCTTGTTAGTATCGCTCCCATTGCATTCCCCGTTTGCAATGCATTACCACTTTGCATAGCAGCCGGATCGCGATATGTAAGACAGATAGCCAGCGACAGGTCAGCTGGCCGGGGTAGGCGTTTGAGCACACAGACGGCGCAGGAAGGACAGCTGCCGGCCCGGTAAAAACCAAGACCTTCAGTGCGAGACGCCTTGGCGGAAGCGCAGCATGTGGCCGGGATAGCTGCGCTCCACACCCAAGTGCCAAAAGCTCAGCGGGATGAGACACCCTGTCCTAGCAGAATATATATATATATATATATATATATATACATTATATAATATTAAACAAAGATGGCACCGAAAATGGCAGATGTTTTAAAATTTACTAAGGGTCGTGACCTCATGTTCAAACTGTACATCAAGTACAGGATAAAATGTACAGGCTTGTGTCTAAATTGAAATAGTCAGGTGTACCAACGCATGAAGCGTTCAAACTGAGGTGATAGCTTTTGTAATTACCTCCGATTTTCTGTGCGGTTTGCCATATAGTTACAAGGCTCTTGCCCCTCTTCTATCTATTTCCTCCGTTTGCGGTACTCGGACTTATAGCATAGATGAATGTACGGTTCCTGTGCTTTGACCTTTCACACAAAAAATGAGAAGAAACATTGGAAACTCGTATAACCTTGCAAACGGAGAAGCAGGTGTACAGATATATGGTAACATCTTCATGACTAGCATCGATGCAATCAGTTTATTTACCAGCAATCCTTTAAAAGAGGCCATCGACATTTGCGTAAGGGCCTTGTTTTCCACAGACACTGAGGTGGCGAGAATAACCGTTCAATATTTTAAGGCCCCTCCTTGAGCTCACTTTGATAAATGTGTTTTCCATTTTCAATGGAAACGTTTATGAGTAGAAAGGAGCGGTGGGCATGAGACCATCTTTGGGTTCAATGTCCGCTAATTTTGTACGTGTCGTTATGAAAAGCTCTGGCTAAGTATATGTCCAACCAAATTATTTCCTTTCTTGTATTATAGTTACGTCGACGATTAATTTCTTCTTTTTGACGATAGGTCTCACGCTGTTTCATTCCTTGACTTTTTTTAACAATCAGCATCCTGCCTGGTGGGGCTGCCAGGCACTGTGCTTGAGAAAGGAGGCTTGCCAAGACAACTTCGTAGAAGGTGGCTTCCACCGGTGTTATGGTGTACAACGGCCCAGCAAAGGGTAGGCGCGCTCGTCCGCTGTCATTTAGTGAATGAGAAATGTAATTTAAGTTGTAAATGAACATGAGTGTAACAGCAAAGTATATATATATATATATATATATATATATTATATATATATATATATATTATATATAATACATACATATATATTATATATAATATATATATATTACATAATATATGTATATATATTTAAATTATGTATATATATATACATACATATAAATTTATATATATACATATATATATATATATATGCATTTTGCACCTTTCCCCCAGCTGTTTGATGGGTTCGTTGATAAACTATAAATATTTCATATCGGTCATAATCGACATTATGTTAACGATAATATCAAACACCTGTGTGCGACATTCAGGTTGATTTCGCTCCAGCTGACTGGTACAAACAGTAACGAGCGTGAGAAACCGTCGACTCATAAGCGTGATAAGACGCCACTTATTCACTAGATGTTTCAAAGACTGATTGCATCTCGAAAAGGATGTCAAAC